TGAGGTTCTTGTGGCAGGGCCTGAGTTTGTGTGGGTGCAGTGTCTCCTTTGAACATCTGAGCATAGGACACTCTTGTATTTACAGTTCTAGAGGGTTGTCTTGGTGGCCTGGATGGCCGTTCTTCTCTTGGAGCTGCATAAATTCTTGCTTTCAGTTCCTTATATGTTTGGCAACCCTTGTAGTTCGCTGGGTGCCCTTGGTGGCATAAAGCGCATACTGCTGGTGTTCTTCTGGACTTCTGGCAGTCCTCAGTTTTATGTTGATCACCGCACCTGACACATCTAGGAATGTGGTGGCAATAGCGTTTCGTATGACCATAAGCCTGGCAGTTATGGCATTGTACAATGTCGCGCTTAGTGTAGGGCTTTTCTACAACAACGCTAGTGTAATAAAGGCGTGTGACCTTGTAGATTTCTTCGACCTGGGGCGTTCAGTCAAGGTCAACGAAGAATAGTGGGAGCGGTATTTTATTTTTTGTACCAGGCTGTTCTCTATCTTCCTTGAATATATTCACTATTTGTCGAACACGGAACCCCATCTCAGTTAGTTCTTCTTTGTGGCATCCAGCGGTGTTGATGGGTGTAATCTCTTGATCACCACCCTGAGCGCTCTCTCTTGGCGCAGTTGATATGTGTGATAATCCGCCTTAGTGTCAGATAAATACTTGACAATTTTTCTGTACGTATCTGGGGTGTCAGGCATTAATTTCGTGTCATTAGTGCGGCTTTGGCATACGGATTTACCTGAGCCCACTATATTATTTAATTGTTGACACATTAATTGGAAATTTTTTATATTTCTAACGAATATTGGTGGAGATTTAGGTTCACTAGGGATGGGTACTGCTTCCATTTGTTCATTATGTGTGTTTGACAGCACTTGGAATGGATTAGCTGTAAAAAAAGGCGATTCTTCTAGCGTACCTTGTATTGGTATAACTTGTGTTGACATATTTTGTGATGGTGTGCCAGGTTGATTTTCAACTTCGTCAACTGAGCTCTCTGGTGTAGCTGGCGGGGTATTTTTTTTAGAGCGTCTAGCCCTTTTCTTGATGGGTGAACTCTTTGTGGTATCGAGACTCCTAGATCTTAAAGTTCGATTGTTACCTTTGCTCACGGGGGCGGTCATCGTCTCGAACCCTTAGGTTTGAGTCGTGTCCCTCATTGACTGCGGAGGTGCAGGCATCCTCCTGTACATCGGCAGGCAATGTAAAGCCGTAGCGATCTACTGATTGCGGAGCCTGAGACCAATCGTGCTCTGAGGTCAGGGAAGCAGCTTCCCGACCAAATTGGTACTACGGGGCGTCGCCGGAGCCCCGGCGGCGCTATGGGTGGACGGCGAGAGTGCTTGCACTGTTCGGCCGTGGCGGTCGTAGTGGTCGTTGTGTTTACGACTACTCGCTGCACGACACCAGTGTACCGATAGTCTTGGCGTTGTTCAGGCTATCTTCTGGTACAGTGTGTAGCGAGTGGACGGAAGTTATGGTAGTAGGAGTTGTCTTATTCCGTGGGCTCCTGTTGTGTGCCTGCATTCTTTGTGGTGTACCCGGTCCGGGGAGTAAGGTTGGAGGCCGGTTAAGGCTAAAAACGCTAGGTATGGCTTCCAATCGATGCTCCCTTGGTCCATAGTGTACCCGATGGTACTCATGTTACCTTTGCTCGACATTACCATATGAAAATAGCGCATCCCATATTAATTTAATTAGAGGTAACTGTAATAATTTGAAAAAAAAAAAATGTCCTTTATCAATTACGTATATATTACGCGAGTTTGTAGAAGTCTAAGTAATGTAGATCTGCTTCCGCCAAAGGGCAGCAGCCCACTGGTCGGATTAACGAATGTATATGGCCGGCTTGTTATCTATCACTATCCTCAGGTCTATTTACACTGTTCACAATGCCGTTATAAATAAGTGATTACTCACCTTGTTTATGTCCAGTTTCAACTTAATTGTTAACTTAACAGTTTACACTACTTTTTCACATATTACATGAATTATTTCACTGTTAATAAAGTCACTTAATAAGAGACGAAATAAAGAGTATATGTGTAAGGTTAACGCATGCGCAGAACTCAATAACACCAGTAGAAGAGCCTACAGATTGGGTTCATGACATAGTAGTAGTTGAAAAGAAAGATGGATCTATTCGGCTGTGTTTGAATCCCATTCCATTGAATAAATACATAAAAAGGGAACATTATAGCATACCTACCCAAGAAGAACTAACTGCTAACCTTAGTGGGAAAAAATGGTTTACTGTGCTCGATATGAAGGAAGGGTTCCATCAGTTTCCTCTAGATGAGAATTCGAGTCGTTTATGCACTATGAATACCCCATTTGGTCGATATCGATTTCTAAGAGTGCCCTACGGTTTGTCTAATATTCCGGAGATATTTCAAAGGGAAAATACAAAAATATTTGGAGACATAGAGGGAGTGCAAATAATGTTCGATGACATAATAGTTTCGGGCCGAACAGAAATTGAACATGCTAAAAGTTTGGAAGAGGTTATAAAAAGGGCCAGACAGTCCAACATTAAATTTAATAGCAAGAAACTCCAGTTTAAATTAAATGAAGTTAAATATTTGGGACTAGTATTTGGAGCAGATGGAATCAAACCGGATCCTCTCAAGGTAAGAGCCATTTCTAATATTAAAGAACCTCAGTCTCCGAAGGAAATTCAAAGATTTTTAGGTGCAATAAATTTTTTGAACAAATTTATTCCAGCCTATTCACAAGTCACCGCCCCTCTTAGGGAATTATTGAAAAAGAATGCTCAGTGGCAATGGTCTGATTCACAGAAGCAAGCTTTCTCTATTGTAAAATCTTTAGTTTGTAATGCGCCCACTCTCAAACTGTTTGATCCGTCACTTAAAATCGAGATCCAATGTGATGCCAGTAAGGATGGGCTTGGAAGCTGTTTACTCCTAAACGGGCAACCAGTCGTATTTGCATCAAGAAGTCTTAATGACTCAGAAAAGAATTACAGTCAGATAGAGAAGGAGATGCTTAGCTTATGCTTCTCGGTCAATAGATTTCACCACTTTATTTACGGTCATAATAATGTTGAGATTTTCACGGATCATAAACCGTTGTTAGCAGTGCTCAATAAGGAGCTGTATAAAAATTCTTCAAGACTCCAAAGAATGCAACTGAAGCTATTAAAATATAAATTTTTATTATCCTATATACCAAGCTCAAAAATGTATATAGCGGACATGCTATCAAGAGCCTTTCTTGAAGAAGAGGGACCAGAAGACGTAGACTTTTCTCAGGTGGTTCATGCCATTACGCTAGAAGAATTGTTGCCGGTGCCATCAGAGGATATAAAAATCTTGCAAGAAGCCACCAGGGATGATTTCAGTGAACTTAGAAATTGTATCAGGAATGCTTGGGAAGGAGTTCATAAAAAGTGTTTGGAACGTGAAATAAAGGTTTTTTATGGGCTCCGAGACGAACTTTCAGAAAATAAAGGAATTTTATTTTATAATGATAGAATTATTATACCACCGAGTCTCCGACGTCACTTCGTAAGCCAAATTCATTCTAAAGCTCATCTTGGAATAAACAAAACCGTTTCCCGTATTAAGAGCCTTATGTATTGGCCAAACATGTCCGAATACATTACAAACTTCATAAATTCATGTTCCACGTGTCAAACCTTCCAAAACAATAAACCTAAAGAACCTCTTATAACATCTGAAATTCCTAAATTTCCGTTTCAAGTTATTGGTATGGACATAGGCGAGTGTAATTCGAAATTTTTTCTGGCTGTAGAAGATTACTACTCAAGATGGTTGGATATTATACCGCTCAAGAATAAAACATCCACTGAAATTATAAAAAAACTAAAAATTCTTTTTAGTAATCATGGCACGCCTGAAATTGTACGTTGTGATAACAACCCGTTCAGTAGTGCAGAAATGGCAGCTTTTGCCAAACATTGGGGATTTAAAATTTGTACATCTAGTCCTCATTACTCTAGATCTAATGGTCTCTCGGAGAAAGGGATAGGTGTCGCGAAGAAAATGATAAAGAAAGTCTCTTATTCAGGAGGAGACATTTATGAAGCCATTCTAGAATACCGAACAACTCCCCTTTCTGGGCTCGAGTATTCTCCAAGCCAACTGTTGATGGGTCGAAGACTGCGAACCAGGGCGCCAGCAAGCATTGATCTCCTTATTCCCAAAATACCAGACGATGATGTGCGCCAAAGAATGGAGCTTCTAAAATTCAAAAGTAAAAAATATTATGACTCAACTTCTCGTCAATCAGAGGAGTTCAAGATGGGACAACCAGTTTATGTTAAATGGAAGGATCGATGGAAAGAAGGATCTATTACAAAGGTTCTCCCTGAACCAAGATCATACTTGGTCAGAGACCAATATGACAACGAATATAGAAGAAACTCATCCCACTTAAGACGCCTCACCACACCTAACACTGATCCTCTACTCAACCCAACTGATTCTGATTCTGATCCTCTACTCCAACCCTCTAATGCTTTATTTCAGGAGGAACAGAGACAGTCTCCGCGTCACCCGCAGAATGGTTCTTCCTGCTGTTACCAGGACTGTCAATTTCCAATGATCAAGCTCAGCAAGCATCTCCAACTAGTGAAGGTATGCGCACCAGATCGGGCCGCCTGGTGAAGCCACCGAAAAGACTTTGTGAGGATTAAGGGAAGGGTGTAGTATAAGACTGTAACCTCTATTTATAAATTATAATATAATCATTTACACATGTTAATTAGATAAAGACAAGACAGATGGTATATTTTGTAATAAATAATAAAGCACACCTACATTTGCTCTAAAGGTATTTTTATTAATTAATTATACATATTACATAACAAAAAGAACAATTGTTCCAGTATTGATACATCTATTAAACTTGAGTTAAATCAAATTGTGTGTAACGTCAAGTCGTGTTTTAAAGAAATATATGAAATGAATGAATGTAATTCGGATAAATTTAAATTTTAGAGGAAATACTTACTATTAAATCTGCAATTAATAAATTTTGGTGGTTTGGGCTTGGGTGCTCCAATAAGGACTGCTGGTTGTGAAACTTCCTTTGAAGCAGTAGATTCTTCTTCAGCAGTTATAGAAGGCGGCGGTGGTGGTAATTTCCGCTCTTCTATTTTTTTATCGCGTCGGCGTTTCATCAAGATTGAAATAATGCCGACGGGCTCTGGGCCCTCATCCTTTGCTGCTAATAAAAAATCTTCTTCTACTGCTTCAACTACTACTTTCTCTTCTTCATTTACAACTTCTACGTCGTGTGGTTCTTCATCAAGTGAGGACGGAAATGGAGGTGGAGGTCTGTGTAAAATTTTAGCTGAAGCTGGAGCTGGAGTAGGAATTGTAGTTGGAGCTAGAGCTGGAGCTGGAACTTGAGCTGGAGCTGGAACTGGAGCTGTCTCAGTCTTACCAGGCTCAGATTCTTCTGTTTTTTTTGGTTTTACTTTTTTTTTTTTTTTACCTTTTGTGATTTTTCGTTTGTGCTTCTTCTTTTTAGTGCGCTTCTTTTTACGGTTCCTTTGAAGTAGAATATCGAAAGGATGAGGTTCATATTCATCGTCCAGGTCCAGGTCCAGGTCCAGGTCCAGGTCCAGGTCCAGGTCCTGGTCCTGGTCCAGGTCCCCATCTAGGATACTAAGATCGAACGAAGAGGAGTTAGAGCATAAAGACATTATTTTTCTAAAGATTTAAAATTTTGAGGATAGTGTAATGAAGATTTTTGAAATATTTATTTTAGGAAACTCAATTTCCATGGATTTTTGATTTTTAACTAATAATATTGTCGTAAAATTTATTCATAATATGATTAATTAATAAAATAAGTGTAACAATAAGCTTCATTATAGCGTTTAATAAGAGTAATAAAAACGAGTGACCAAGAAATATTTAATCTGAAGAAATAAAACTTTGTTTTATTGAACGAAATAAAAATATATTGATTTACAAAGTACAAAAACAAAAAAAAAAGGAAATTCATTATCCAAGTTTATTAATGAACCACCTTTGTAAACGAATACCCGCTTGCAATGGCATGTGCCCATCCAGCCTTGTTGAATATTTCTATATATTTGTATTTATCAATCACGTCTATTTAATAGGCGAGCACCAAGCTGAAATTATCCATAAGAAGAAGAAACACGCTGGACTATATCTTCATCTTAAACAATAACTCGAAAAATTATAATAAGCAGCTCACCTTATTTGTCGATTAAAAGCTCCATGTGATTCTGTGGACAGAATCTGTCTTTGGAAGATAATTACTGAACAAGGAATCCTCGCGAAGTTCGTGAGATTTACGAAATTTGTTGTATATCTAAATGAAAATATTACAAAATATCGATAATATATTACAAAATGAACTTTGGCCTTCCTCACAATCTGTCTGCAGACGTCTCGGTCCAGCACCCTTCCCTTCCACGCAGTCACTCCAAGTTTAGCCAAGTCCTACTCCACATCCTTTAGCCAGCTTGTTCTGGGGCACCCTCTTCCCCTCCAAAAAACAAAAACAAAAACTGTTCTTCTTTTATCTTGAAAATCCACATTCGATATTTTTCTCGTCATCAGTCCTTCTGGTAAACTTTCAATGTGCCCAAGCCAACTCAACCTTCTTAATATAACAAACCTGACTATATTCTCATGTCCTATGAGGTCATCGAGCCCTCTATTCGTTCTGATTCTCCAGGTGCCCTGTGAGCATTCTGGGTCAAAATTACGTCTTAATATTTTTCTTTCAAAGATCCTTAGGGCTAACTGGTCTGAGACTTTCAGTGTCCAGGTTTCGATAATGTCTACTAATGCTAAAATGTCGAGTTGGCGATATTTTGGAAGGTGTAAATGAGCCTAAATGTCGAATCCTAACACAAGGAAAAGTACCTCCAGTTTGAACTGGCTCGCAGCCAGAAGGAGGTGGACTCTGGCCGATGCTTTTCAACTTAGCGCTGGAGAAGCTGATAAGAACAATATCAGATGAAAATTGAAGGGGGAACGGCGGAATGATTAATAAAGCTCATAGGTATGCTGAAGATGTAGTTGTATAGTATTGGGGGTCAGGTGCTGTGTGACAGGGAGCCCTGTTCTTGTGATATATAAAAAAAAGTGAAAAGGTTCGACGGAGGAATTTTTGTGAATGATGCTACCAATTATTTATTAATATATTTTTATTTAGGCTTTCCAAGCAATGTCCCTGAAGGGGCAACCTGTTTTATTGGGTTAATTAATCTGACATACAGTTTGATGAGGGACCGGTCTCGTGCCTGTAGTCTGCCTCCTCCCTCTCTCTCGATTTCGACGCGCGTCCAATGTTTTGGAGCTGGTGTGTAGCCAAAGGGCTGTAATTCTCTCGTCAGCCGCTGGCTGTCTTCCTTGAAGTCTGCTGAGCATGTGGGCCGTAAGCCGTGTAGTTCTGTACTTCGTCTTCAAGCATCGGACGTTGGCCTGTTATTTATACAAGGCAAATTATAAATATTTGTTACACAAACAATAAATATTTATACAAAATTCTTAATGTAAATCCAACAGTAGCTGTCCTTGGAAGTAACTCAATGAGCATTGAGAGACTCACTAGGACTGATAAAAGAAGCAGAGCAAACGTGTGTGTTTGTTCACACCTCACCATCTACAAGTAAATGGGGATTAAACAAATACAAGATATTAAGCAGAAAATTCGATCTTACCAGGATCTTCGTAGAAAGAAAATTGTTCCCGAAAGTAGGCTAATTCAATTACATCGACTCCACAATTACCTCTGTGAATGTCGAAAATAGAGCAGCGTATAACAAGTGGAAACAGAGCTTTCTACTCTTTTTCAAAGGTATTGAAATCCCATAAAAATCGCAAATAGTATGTGTACAATGCTTTGTACTAAAGCCAGTTCTGATGTGCGGCAATGAGACATGGACATTAACTAGCACCCTAGAAAGAACTATTGAATGATTTGAAAGAAAAACCGTCCGCAAATAACAAGAACGATCTGGGTTCAGATTACTTATGCTTCAGGAAGCTTCTACTCAACAATAAATGGCTCAATAATTAGGAAGTAACCTAGGGAAGATAAAACCTAGATAGATATTTAGCGATGGTTACGGTTAAAGATATTTAGATGATGCCGAGCTGCACACAGAAAACTGGAAAGAAATGACTGGTTAAGGAGGCAAAAGATCAGCAAAGTCTGTAAAGACATCACAAAAAAAGAATCATTCACGTCTAGGCACAGTCAAGTTGCTGCAATCTGAAAGGTAGAAGAAGGAATTTTCAAATCATAGAAGTACTTTCATTGTCATATCCTTTCTCCTCTAGTACGACCATACAGGGTGAGTATACCGTATCAAAGATCTGGACCAGGTGTCCGTTCACATTTGAACAGCAGCCCGTATAGTCCTTCCACTTTAGCGGGTCCAGGACGGGTGCCCTACTCCCCACCGTTTTTCGAACATCTGTTTTAGGACGAAAATCTGGTCTTACGCCCTCCTTTCATCTTCATCATAATTCATCTTGATGATCGCCTATTACATTGATATATCCGGTTTATTAGGATATTTTTCATTAACTTGTAAGCAACAGAAAGTGATGTCATGCCCCATTAGCTACTGCACTCAAAAATGGATCCATTTTTATGTTCTGGTAGATTAGGGCCTTATTCCAAATTTATGATATCCTTTCTTATTTTCTGGTTTTGTAGTTGTAGTAGTTCCTCATATTCAAACAGCTCTATTGGTAGGTTGTCTAACACTGGTGCCTTTCTGGTTAAGATTTTAGATAGCTACTTCTATATCTTGTATAAGTAGTGTTTATTTCAACTTCTGGTGAGTCGTAAGCTTTTCTTGTAGGTATTTTCTTTGTTTATGGGTTCTTCTTGATTGAGAAGCTGCTGGAAATATCCTTTCCAGATTCTCAGTATTTTTTGCTACCAAACTGCCGTATTTTTCTCACTTTTTCGTATTTCTAGCTTTGTAGCCTATCCTTTTTCTTTCTGTCTACATATAATTTGCTTACATCTCCAGCCTACCAGTCGTTAATAAGTGGTTTACAGTCGTACTTTGAAGAATTCTTTTTGTCTCGATCTTATTTTATAATTTTGGATGTTTTTTTTTTCCTGTTGGCTGAAATTGCCCAGTGTATCTTCATCAGTTCTGACTAGATAGATAACTTTCATTTTTCATCTTCATAGAGAACTTTCATTTTTCACTTGTTGTCATTACTCCTGAATAACTATTAATTATTTTAGCTCTTTCTTTGAAATAGCCCAGTGTAGCTACACCATAACACCCTAAGAATCCAAGGCTTCAAAATAACTCCTCACCTCTAGTTAGAATTACTGCAGGCACTTTTTTTTTTTTTTTTTTTTTTTTTTTTAATAAATAATAAAAGATTGAATAAAAGTTTGTTGGGGTATTCAGTCAAAAAGTAACAAACACTTAAAAATGTATTAATGTTAAGTTTATTCTATACACAAGTTATTAGACTATAACTTTTACCTACATATTATTACATTTACACTCTACTTGTTTCTCTTATCTTGTATTTTCTTAGTTCTAAGGAAGACCTGAACAAAAGTTGAAAGAAATGACTCAAATTCCAGCTTATATATTGTTGAAAAGTTTATTAGATCACCAGTTGCTAAGTGTACTATGGGTGTTTAGTCACAATTGTTCTGTTCTATTTACAATTAAGCACTGAAAAATTGAGGTAAGGACCTGTAATTCTTTCTGCAATTGTAAGGGATGAGTTGTAGTTACTATAATTTGACCCTAAAAAGTAACAAAACTTCTTTTTTCCTGATACTGACAAAAAATTGTGTTTACCTTTTGTTTAATGACATAGTGAACAATAGAGGTTATATTTTAGAAAGAGAATGATGTGAACCATTGGATAAAATATTGAATTACTGCTTCCTGTAACCAGCTTTGAATTCTAGTTTCTTTTCATTCAACATGGTTTCTTCAAAAACATCTTCAAATACATAAACCTGGATTTAAAACAACTTAGGGTGCATAACTAATTATCTTTAAATTGGAATTTTGTTATATGTCTTTATTTAAATAATGATCACTAGAAAATGATTACATGTTTTATTCACAAGCTTACACATCTAGATTCATATAACCTCACTGTCTGTTATCTTTACTTACAGTACTACCATATATACATAACCTTATTTTTCATATCTTAACATCTCCCTTCTTGAAGTCACTCTCACCACCTTGGTGCTCTCACCAGCCTACCTGCTCTGGTGACATAACCACCAAACAAAGTTTCATCCTCTTCCTCTGGCTGTTCTTCTTCAGTATCTTCTCCTTGCTGCTCTTCTTCGTTACCTTCTGCTTGCTGTTCTTCTCCTCCCTCTCCACCTTGCTGCTCTTCTCCTTGGCTACCATTGTACTTTTTTTTTTTAATTTTAATGAAATTTACAACTGTATTACATAAAAAATACCACAGGTAAATGTGACATTGGTAACATGACATGTACAACATGAAGAGAAACTACCCATTGGTAAAACTCAAATTAAAGTTCTATATTAGAAGATCCCGAGGCCATCTTCTTTTCAGAAGCCTCGGAGGGTTATCAGGGATAGAGGAGGAAGCAATGTTTGAAACATGAGGGTTCGGATGGTTCTGCAGTTTATTTTAATCCTCCAGTTTTGACACCATTCTTCAAGATTTGTGATGTGTGATTGGAGAGTTTGGGATGCAATTGATGGATCGTTGTTAGCTGATAGGATACACGTGTCATCGGCATAG